GTGCTGGTATTGCAGGCTTGAGCCATTGTGCCTGGTCAAGATCACAGATTTTTAACGGTGTTCCGCTAAAGAGGACATGAAAATGAACAAGAGTCATAATTTTCACAGCATCATTAGTGATTAAGAAAATGCATATTAAAACCACATAATGATAATATTGCATTCCCAATATAATGGCACCAAATAAACAACACCCCTCCCAACCAAACTAATAGACTGACAAGGATGTACAGCAATTGGAATACTCATCGAACACTGGTGCACATATATATGGCATAGAATTTTGGAAAACTATTGACATTTCCTACTAAGGCTAAGATTATACTCTTCCTATCACCCAGTAAATATACTCTTAGGAGTCTCAACTGATGTGAATGTCTCCCAAACAACATGTGCAGAAATGCTATAAGAACTTTATTCAAAAATTGGATTTAACCCAGAATGGATAAATAAATTTAGCATATTGATACAATTGAATACTATACAACAATGAAAAGTAACAGATTACAGCCCTGGGTAATTATGGATAAATCTCACAAGCATAATTTTGAATGAAAAATTCATCCTACTGGGAATATACCCCTAGAAACTCAAATCACTCTATGAAAAAGATACCTGCACACATATGTTTATTGCAACATTGTTCACAATAGCAAAAACATGGAACCAACCATGCTGCCCATTGAAAGAGGACTGAATTTTTAAAATGTGGTACATTTACATGATGGAATATTACACAGCCGTAAAGAAGGACAAAATTATGAACTTTGCAGCAATTTGGATGGACTTAGAGTCTATAATACTGAATGATCTATCACAGAAACAAAAAATGGCATATCACATGTTCTCACTCATAAGCTGACTTTGAACAACATCGTAATACTATAAGAAAGGTATTGGCAGTAGTGGGAAACTGCTGAGGCTTGGGGTATGGGATTAGCAATAGTGGGAATCTGCTGGGAGAGGGGATGGGGCCACATCTCACTAGCAAGGGTACCTGTATAATGAAAATTTGCGTAACCCTGATTGTACCACACATCTTTAAAATAAAAAATTTTAAAAAACAAAAATCCATCATAAAATATGTGTATGATGTAATATAATTACTATGAATTTCTTAAGCTATTTATAGTAATAAAATGAAAAAATAATGAACTCCAGATGTTACTGACTGACAGAGACATGAACAACTATTCTGTGTTGTTGGTAGTGCCACATATGTTGGCCTGGGTTGTGGTTATGTAGGTTCAGGGCTGCCCACAAGGTATATGGGTAGCCAGGGAAATATTCTTTGTGTGGTGCTTTATGACATGAACAATTTGAATCACCTCAAATGAGCATGCCAGCATCATTCTGGCAGCCCAATCTTTAGAAAGTTCATGAAATAAGCACTGTACCACTGGTGGAGTTAACCTGTTATATGGGCCATTAGCCTAGAATCAAGACATCAGCCCAAAGGCCCTTGAATAACTGCATAGGCTTAAGTTCTAAAGCGTCTGTTCAATTACATGAGTACACCAGAGGGTTAAGGAGTGTCCAAAAGGGGAGATCCAGAACTATTCATAACAAGATGAGAATCAATCCCTTCCCTGACATGACTCAAGCCGTATTGTTATACAACATGGCTGACTAGTGTTATGTGTTGCCAGCTCAGGATACTATCAATATTCATAAACCTGAGTACTTAACAGTGACCATTTTCCACAGAGATGTGTTGAAAAACATCTATATTTCTAGAAGAACTGGATGGAAATAATTCTTCAAGTTAAACCCTTAATTTTCACAGATACTATGATTGCAGATCTTTCAATCTTTTTTAACAGCCTATCATATCTATATTATTGATGATACAGAAAAATTCTCCTAAAACTTATTTAAAAGTTTTAGTCTATATGATTTAGTTATTGAATGGATTCTTATTTTGTAGACTAGCAATTATTCATCCATCTATCCATTCATTCATTCATCAACACATATTTATTTAACACATATTTTGTTCTTGGAATTGTTCTGGGAGAGAGCAAAATGATGAACTTACCATAGTGATTTGTTTAATAATGAAGTTTTGTATTTAGTGAGAAAGGCTCTGTACTCAATAAGATCTTATTTTCTTATTTATTTTACAATAAAATAGCCCATTGAACATCAATGATTATGTTTTATAATCTTTCTTCTGTAAGAATTAGAAATAACGAGTGATTATCAGTTGAGCACTATTTAAAATTAATTATTGTGCATCAAGACAATGTATTACTATGAAACTTTTAAAAGAAGTGAAGAGACATGCATAAATTGGCTCTAGAAGGAATCACAAAAAATTGGTATTAGACATTTATTTCTGGGGAGATAATCTGTAGAATGGAAGTCAGTGATAGGAGAATATGACAAAATATGACAAAATAATAAAATGAGTGTTTCATTACTTTTACTTGGAGTGGAAGACATCTAGAGACTACTTGGCAGTAGATGGCAATGCCAGATGCCATGTTGCTTCAAATCACACTTATAATTCTAAATCCAACATAAATTTATCAAGCTCAAAAATTGCATCAGTTACTATTCTAGACAGTAGTGCTACAGAAATAATACATAACCTAAATAAATGGACATTCTAGACCAGAGAAGATGTAGAAACAAAATGTCTTTCAGAGTTTCCCATTTTTACTTTTGGGGATGGAGAGTGTAAATAGGACCTTTCCTCAATGCTCAGCACACTTAATTTGCCTTTCTATTATCTGAAGTCCAGATTCCAAAATCTTAGTGTGGCATGCAAATCCTTATAAGATCTGTTTCTGGCTTACTTCTTTGTCTTTCACTAAGTCACTACCCATATTCTATATCTTAGTAGTCATGAATTGCTTGTACTTTACATATGCTTTAGGTTGTCTCTCACCATCAGATATTTTCACATGTTGCTTCATCTTATTTAAACCACCTGAACTCTTTATTTTCCTTTTTGCATCATATTTTTCTGAATAACTCTTTAAGAGAGGCACCAAAAACCAACAATTCTGTGATATTTTCCCCCTAATCTTTTAAACTTCTTAGGCAATGATGATTGTATAATTAAACATATTCTAAGATCCATTTCTTGTAAACACATCAAGATAACCAATGTATTTGTTTATTTTATTTATTTGTAATTATGACAACCTATACTGGTACACATTTATAGACTAGAAAGTTTTGTTATAATTTATGAATACAATATAGAATAATAAATAAAAGTTTTTAACATATCTAATCACTTCAAATGCTTAACTTTTTTGTGGTGAGCACATTTGAAATTTACTCTCAGCAATTTTAAAAAGAACAATATAATTAATAATACTCATCATATTGTGCAATAGAACTAAGAAAATAATTCCTCCTGTCTAATAAAGATTTTGTATCCTTTGACTATCATCTCTTCATTTTTCTCAGCCCCAGCCTCTGTAACCAACATTCTACTTTCTGGTTCTGTGAATTCAATTGTTTTAGAAGTGGCATTGCTGGATTATATTGGTAATTCTATTTTTAGTATTTTGAGAAGCTTCTATACATTTTCCCATAATAGCTGAACTAATTTACATTTTCATCAACAGCATATAAACCTTTTCTCCACATTCTTGTCAACATTTGTTATTTTTAAAATATTTTATATATGTAGCCACTCTGACAAGTGTGTGATGATATCTCATTTGCGGTTTTAATTTGCATTTTCCTAATGATTAGTGAAATTGGACAGTTTTTTAAAATGTCTGTTAGCCCTGTGCATGTCTTCTTTTGAGATATGTCTATTCAGTTTCCTTAACCATTTTTAAATTTGGATTTTTGCTTTATTGTTATCAAATTGTGTGAACTCCTTGTAATTTTTGGATATTTACATCTTATCAGATGTATGGTATGCAAATATTGAAATCTTTGCACACTTTTTATTATTTTCTTTGCTGTGAAGAAAGTTTTTAGTTTGGAGTAATCCCATTTGTCTATATTTTTACTCTTGCTGCTTGTACTTTTAGAATAAAAATTTTTTAAAAATTATTGCCCTGGGCAATATTACATAGCTTTTCCTCTATGGTTTTGTCTTAGTCCATTTTGTGTTACTATAAGGAATACCTGAGGCTGAATAATTTATAAAGAAAATAAGTTAACTTGGCTTCTAGTTCTGCAGGCTGTACAATGGCATCAATATCTGATTCTGGTGAGGGTTTCTGGTTGCTTCCACTCAGGGTAGCAGATGTCACATGGTGATAGAGGAAGGAAGAAAAAGACAGTGAGAAGAGGAGATGCTACGTCGTTTTCAACAACCAGTTATTGTGGATCACACTCATTATGGCAGGGTTGTCACCAAGCCATTCATGAATGATTCACCCATATGATTCAAACACCTTTCTTTAGGCCCACCTCCTATATTTTTGATCAAATTTCAAAATGAGATTTGGAGGAGACAAATATCTAAACGGTATCAGGTTTTTTTCCACTAATTTTAAAGTTTCTGGTCTTAACATTTAAGTCTTTGTTTTATTTTGATATTGAATAACTTTTTTGTATGGTGTGAGATAGGGGTCCAATTTTATTCTTCTGCATGTGGATACTTTTTCCCCAACAACATTTACTGAACCGGTGATGCTTTTCCCATTGCATACTCTTGGCACATTTGAACACGTAAGTGTGGATTCTCTTCTGGGCTCTCTATTCTGTTGATCAATGGTCAATGTAACTTTTTCACCAATACCATACTGTTTTATTTACTATAGCTTTACAAGTAGGTATTGTGATACCTCCAGTTTTGTTCTTTATGATAATGATTGCCTTGGCTATTTGTGTGGTTCCATATGAATTTTAAGATTTTTTTTCTATTTCTATAAAAAAATGATGTTTGAATTGTGATAGATGATGTATTGAAACTGTAGAAACATTTCAGGTAGTTATGAACATTTTAAGAGTATTAATTATTCAAATCCACTAACATGGGATTTTAAAAATTTACTGTGGAACTATTGAAAGACCCAGGCGAGTGGGGCACAGGCTGGGGTTAAACACTTTAAGATGAGAAAATTTAATCACTGTTTGATCTCTGAAGGGTCTGAAGTGATTTTAGCTACATCAAGTGATGAGAAACACCCACCTGAAAATATCATTGATGGGAATCCAGAAACATTTTTTACCACTACAGGAATGTTTCCCCAGGAGTTCATTATTTGTTCCCACAAACACGTAAGGATTGAATGGTTTACAATTCCAAGTTACTTTGTACAAACCTTGAAGACTGAAAAGAGCACATCTAAAGAGCCAGTTGATTTTGAGCAATGGATTAAAAAAGATTTGGTACACACAGAGGGGCAGCTTCAAAATGAAGAAATTGTGGTATGTGATGGCTCTGCCACTTACTTGAGATTCATTTTTATATCAGCCTTTGATAATTTTGTTTCTGTGCATAGCTTTTATGCAGAGGGAACAGTAATCTCAAATCTTTCTTAGTAATTGTAACAAAATGCTCTTGCATGATTTTTTAATGACATATTTAAACATGAAGATGTCACTGATATGCTTTTTTAAAGGATTTGTAAAAAGCATTTAAAAAATAAAAATTTACTGTGTCTTCAATTTCCTTCATCAACTTTTAATAGTTTTCAGTGTATAGTATTTTAACTCTGGTTAAATTTATTTTTAAGAATTTTTAAGCTGTTGTAAATGTATTTGTTCTCCTGATTTATTTATTTACAAAATGGTTCCTTTTAAGTATATAGAAACACTATTAATTTTGTGTGTTGATTTGTATTGGGCAACTTACTGAATTTGTTATTAATTTTAAGAGTATTTTTGGTGGAGTCTGTATGTCTACAGACTCATGTCATCAGAAAACTTTGGGGGACCAGCCCCTGCAAGTTTTGGGGAGATTTAGGAGGTCCCGTGGAAGATGTGGCAGCATCAGTGATTATTCTAGAGAAATAAAGAGAAAGAAAGAGAAAGGAGGAGAAAGAAAGAGACTGGACTCTGTCTATCGCAGAAGCAATTTATTGAAAGTTACAGCAAGTATCTATCTCCAAATTTTACACAGACAATCTCAAAAGTCTTTCATGTGAACACAAAGCCAGGTGCGTCCTCCATCCACCAGATGTTTTCTTAGGTATGAGGAGGGACAAACCCCAGGATTGTCTTATTGTGGCCCAGTCCAAAAATCATGCTGGGCTCTACAGGATGTGGCCCAGTCCAAGGTTCATGGTGGGCCACCTTTTGGAACAATAGACTATAATCTCTTAACAAAATGGCTATTCTAAAGTCCTATAGATCTATCCTAATTTCTATGAAAGTTTCTAATTCCAGATCCTAATATATAAAGCTGATCATCAGCAGCAAAGCTTCTAAAAATAAAACCCAAATATAAACTATAAATGTACTAAGGCCAAAACAACAATAGTAGAAAATGGAGACAATGAAATTTCTAAAGTTAACTGTATTCTTATTAAACCTCAAAATATCATGATTGATCATGCTTGAACAAACATAATTCCCTGACGTAGCATGACCTACGATACTACAATACTTTCTATGAATAAAATAAATTCAATTTCTATAATAGGTAGAAAAAACCCTACACCAACTGTAGCTAAAGCCAGCCTAAAAGAATATAGCCCAGTCCAAAGTACGCGCTGGGCCCTCAGGAATGTGGCCCAGCCAAAAGTTTGTGCTGGGCCATTTCTGATAACTCTAGATAATCATCTATACCATTGAAAAACTGAAAACAGCTCTCCATAAGTATATACTAATTCTACAAATATACTTTTAAATCTTATAAAGAAGCTTGTACTGTATAAAATGTTCCCAAATGTGACCTGAATTTGAAATGTATCTAATACCTAAGCCAAAACCACAGTTTATGGGAAACAGGAACAATGAGTTTCTAGAGTGAGCCATACCTGTCACAGTCACAGAGCCTTCAGCTTAGATCAGCAGAGTTCCTTTAGGTTACTTGCGCTGCATGGTAAAAGGAGGAGAAAAATGGGGTCAATGGCTCCCGAACACATCCTAGTGGTCTTGGGGTCCACAGCCCTCCCCGATCCCTAACACTCAGTGGGTCTCCGTGGCCAGCTCCCAACAGAAAACATTGATTTCTTTCTCTTTTTTTTTTTTCCTATTTGGATGTCTTTTACTTATTTCTCTTGCCTAATTGCTCTGGCAAGGACTTCCATACTCTGTTGAATAGAAATGCTGAGAATGAGCACTCTTACCTTGTTTCAGATCTTAGAGGAACAATTTTCAATTTTTTACATTTAAATGTTAGCTGTGGGCTTCTCATATTGCCTTTATTGTGTTGTATTCCTTCTATACCTAATTTGTTAAGAATTTTTATCATGAAAGGATGTTTTTCTAAAGCAAATCATGAAATAATTTTTTCAAATGCTTTTTCTTCATTTAATGAGTTAATTTTGTGTTTTTTAAAACATTCTGTTAATGTGATGCATCACATTTATTGATTTGCTTATGCTGACCCATCCCTGCATTCCAGGAATAAATCCCACTTGATCATGAATGATTCTTTTAATGCGTTGTTGAACTTAATTTGCTAGTATAGTGATAAAAAATTTTGCCACTATGTTTACCAAGAACATTGACCTGTCATTTTCTTTTCTTGTAATGTCCTTGTCTGGCTTTGGTACTAAGGATATGTTGACCTCATAAAAAGAGTTTGGAAGTTTTCTCTCCTCTTAAAAATTTTTTTGAATAATTTAAGAAGAATCAGTATTAGTTATTTTTTAATATTTGATGGAATTCAGCTATAAAGCAATCAGGTCCTGGGTTTTTCTTTGATAGAAAGCTTTTAATACTGATTCAATCTTCTTATTTATTATTCATCTGTTCAGATTTTTCATTTCTTCATTATTCACTCTTAGTTGGTTGTATGCATCTAGGAATTTATCTGTGTTTTCTAGGGTATCCAAATTGTCAGTGTATAATTTTCATAGTAGTCTCTCTTTTTTGTACTCTGAGAGAAAATGTATTTTTATGTGTGTCCTGGACAGTATTTTATCTTGCTTTTAAAGTTTATTTTTTAATTGACATATAAAAATTTACATATTTGCTCTTTATAACCGGGTATTTTGAAATATATGCTGTACATTTTGGAATGTTTAAATCTATATAGCTAGCAAATGCATTACCTTATATGGTTATCATTTTTGTGGTGAGAACATTCATCAACTCTCTTAGCATCTCCCAAGAATACAAAAGAATACAATATGTCATCTAATATATCACAACTAACTACAGTCACCATACTATATAGTAGATCTCTTGAACTTATTCCTCCTATATAAGTTTAAATATGTATTTTTTGCTAACATGTCTCTGTAGTAGTCTCTCATGAGACTGTGATATTGGTTGTAATGTCTCTTCTTTTATTTTTATCTTACTTGCTTGAGTTTTCTCTTTTATAGTCTACCTGGAGGTTTATAAACTGTGTTTTTTTTTTTTTTAAAAAAAGAAAGCTCTTAGCTTTGTTAATATTTTATATTGATTTTCCTTTTTATTTATCTCTGCTCTGATTTCTATCAATTTGTTTGTTCTGTTAACTTTGGGCTTATTTTTTCCCCTAGTTCTTTGTAGTGTAGCATTAGGTTGTATATATGATATTGTACATTTTTTTAATATAGATGTTTATTGCTATAAAATTTCCTGTTGGAATTGCTTTTGATGTGTCTTGTAACTTTTGTTATGTTGTGTTTCCATTTTCATTTATCTCAAGATTTTTTTTTACAATTTTTTCATTGACAATTAGTTGTTCAGGAACATGTTATTTAATTTCCATGTATTTGTCAGTTTTCCAAAATTTTTACTGGCATTGGACTTAACAGACATATACAGAACATTTTATACAACAACAACAAATACACAAATACATCTTTTTAAGCATGCACAAAACATACTTCAGAATAGATCACATGTTAGGGTACAAAACAAACCTCAGAAAATTTAAGAAGATTAAGAGTATGTCAAGTCCGACCATAATGGTCTACCTTCTTTTTTTTTTTGAGTTGAAGTCTGACTCTCTTGCCCTGGCTGGAGTGCAGTGGTACACCCTTGGCCACCCCAGCGTTGACTTGCTGGACTCCAGCAATCCTTCTGCCTCAGCCTTCCAAGTAGCCAGAACTAGAGGTGAGCTACCACATCCGGCTAATTTTTGATTTTTGTAGAGTTGAGGTCTTGCCAAGTTGCCCAGGCTGGTCTTGAACCCATGAACTCAGGAAATCCACTTGCTGGGCTTGCCAAAGTGCTGGGATTGCAGGCTGAGCCACTGAACCTGGTCATCTGTCTTCTTGACTTTTTCTTTTCCTATGAGTATACCAGGTAGAGATTCCTAGTAGCAATACCCTCTTTTTAAAAATCAGCCGTTGTACTACAAGTTCCTAGGGGAGTAGGTGCTCAAAAATGTTTTGTGATGAACAAACCAATGAGTGGGCAACACTGAGTGTTTATTCTTTGATAGATAATACATTTCCAAGTCAAACAAAAATCTACAAAGTTTCAAAAACTTTGCTTTTAGTAGAAATTATAAATTCTTTTGATTATTATGGTCTTTTCCCCCCAATTTATCTAACAGTAAGGAAATTTCTCAAGGATAGAAATTTTGTCTTATATATTATTCCCAAATGATATCAAATTCAGTACCTGGAAAATAATATAATAACATTTTGCGATAATTTTATTGGACTTAATTAAATTAGTTTGCGGGTTTTTCTAAAGAAATGTGTTTGAACTTAAAAAGTTTCTTAAAAATCATAGAAATGATTCATTAATACTTCAAGAATTAAATGGTTAGGCACTGTCAAATTATACATCCACTGTCTGGTACAACTATCCATTTTATCTATGGAAATGTTTCTTTCTTATCACATTGGGATTTACTTTTGCCTCAGTCTTCAGTGATCTTTTGCTAAGTAAAACTTTGAGCACTGCTTCCTGTATTTGCTTTGTCTTTGCTCTATAGACAATAGGATTCAGGGTGGGTAGCAAGAGAAGGTGTAGGTTGGTCACAAAAAAATGTGAATGCTGTGGGGAATCATATGACTCCGAAAACTGGGTGAAAAAGGTGAAGAAGGCTGGAACATAGGTGATGATGATGGCACAGATGTGTGCAGTGCAGGTGCGAAAGGTTTTCTGCCGAGCTTCTGCTGATGAGAGGCTCACAACTGCCTGTGGGATTATAGTGTAGGGGACAGGACATCAAATCCCCCAATGAAGAGTGCAACCATCAGTCTATAGGTGGCATTAACCATGACATTGCCACAGGATAACAGCCACAGACATGGTCAAAGTAGGTGTGGAAAATTATATTTCCCTTACAATAGGGCAGGTGTTTGGTGAGTAAAGTGAAAGGAATAATGAGAGTCACATATTGAAGAAAGGTGAGAAATCTAGCCTTGGCAGTAACAGAGTTGGTAAAGGTAGTGGCATAGCATAGAGAGTAGCAGATGGCCACATAGCGGTCCAGAGCCATGGGCATGAACACCCAAGACTCCATCCCTGTGAAAGTGTGGAGGAAAAAATATCTAGACCAGGCAA